CGCTTTTGAATGCAGAGGTTCAGTTTCAGATCCCGAAAGACTAATGCTTTAGCTATGGGCACAAGGCGTATGCGAAGTCTCTTTGTACTATACTGAAATGTATATTATTTTACATTTCATTAGTTAAGTAGATTTATGCTTTCAAACGTTGTATTTATTGGTTCAGTAAATTATTGTTATGATGATTCACTTAGACATTAACTACTACTCAGCTATGACGCTCCCCAATGGCTCAGTAGTTTGAAACGTAAATATACTATTTGAACAGGCTTTTTAAATTTAGGTGGGTAGTGACTAGCGCTGGAATCCATGATGCACATTTCAACCAAAATCAAGACTCAGCAACTCCATGTACCTGGATTCCCCAATGAGCGGCGTTGTTCTCCCTGAGGCTGGAACTCAGTACTTGTAGTTTTGATCAACAATGTGTCATCCAATAGACCACTTAGGTCATGAGAACCATTTATCCTGCAGCGGGTATCGATTATTATTTATTTTTAGTTCCCGTTGACTGATTCCATTGGTAGTCAGCATCCACCAAATTACTTTAAGCTGATCCTCAGATATCATTAAAGCATCCAAACAAGCAGCCAACATGTCAACAAGAGCCTTCATGTTTCGGCCTAATCAGTCGACGAGAGAATAAAAACTGAATTTAAAATAGGCGATCACTGATCAATTTTTGCATTCTATGATTTCTCATTTAATTTAATATTTACTTTCCTTTTTCTGTTAATAATTTCATAAACTATTGATCGTTTGCTTTTCTGTCTCAGGACTGTTGTTCAATTTCTTTTGAAAAACTACTTCATGTTTCTTTATTTTCTAATGATTTATCATTAAATTAAACCAAACTATGCGCTTATCGTATTTCATAGCTTTTTTTGTAATCAACAAGCTTAGTTCAAGTAACTAGGTCAAGTTGATTAACAAGGAATGAAGACAATGTCAGCTGGTGAAAAGGTGTTTTAAAGCTACTTGATTTTTTATTTTTAATAAATGCATCATTACTTAAAATCAATATTTAGTTGGTTATTTTCATCACTGATTATAGTTTTGTCAGTACACTTTTTTCAAGAAAAGCAGGAAAAGGAATAAAACTAAAATTCGTCCAGCTATCTGCATAAGTTCTGTATAAAAACTTGAAATAATACAGATGATGAGAACAAATATAAGCCTAATTTACAAATTCAGTGAAACATTTCATCGTTTCGAACTATGAACCAAAATGTCTTTCAACACAGTGGAAACAGCTGTCAAAATAATGACTATTTTTCATTCCTTTGAGGTATGGGTGAAACAATGGGCTGTAAGCGCGAGCTTTCAAGTTTTAGTTGTTTTTGGTGAGAGTTTGAAGTTGCTAGCCTCACACGGAAACTTGAACGCGCATCAACCAGGAATCGAACTCCGGACCCTATGGGTGGTTAGAGAATATTTTACCATAGAATCGCTAACTCAAATAGTAAGTCTATAAAGTCTTATTCTGACCGTGATTCCCCTTATTGCTCTGTCTTTATAACTGGTTTCTGATGACTTCTTTTATTCGTAATACTACTATGAGACTACTAGTTAGTAATCAGTCATAGGTTATGCGAAAATGCATTTTCCAATTATGAATAATATAGTTTTTATAATCACCGAAGATTACTTAACACAAAAGATTGACATGCAGGCAAACACACTATAAGATCACTATGATATCTATTCTCACTTAAATTTATGTAATGACAATGGCTTCATTCTAAACATGTTTAGATACAGTACAGAATCTTGAGCCTTGCTTTATCTTCAAGTAACACTTTAATCTAAGGTATATTACCCTACAGAATTTTGTTCTCTCTCCTCCGATGTAATTGTCTCTTCAACACATACCGACCAATATGCTGGAAGTCATTTAAAAATCCACTTGAGTACCGACTGTTCTTCAAAGACATAACTAGGCGATTAAAACAAAATACAACTGAGTGAATCTGATGTATTATGCTTAATGGTAAATAAGGTAGTCCAGTGATTTGAGAAGGCCATCACTAGTCGTGACAATATTTATAATGACAATTTCTTAATTTATATCAATAAAATTTCAGCATATTCATGAATCTAAGAGAATAATTAATGAAACTGTCTTCACTGAATAACCTGGAAAACCCGACGTATTTAATTGCGCAAATAGGAATCTAGTTTACACAGATATTCAGTAAAATATTTTAAAATTTCCTTCTGGGGAAGCAGATTACGAATTCAGGAAAATATGAGGATGCGAGAGTTACACAAAATGTGTGGCATATTTTCGGAGGACCTCTGCCTTTCATAAAATTATGTATTCCTTTAAAATGAATAATTAGTAATTTCATCATCAAAAAGTTAGGTTTTTGAGGTGCTTGTAACCGTCAGTGGATAATATTTATCACCAAATGACAACTTATTTCAGTTGACTATGGCCTGTTTTTGTTCAACTGACACAAAAAGTAATAATTGAGGTCATTAGTATGCCTAAGAAGTTGCCAAACGTTTGTATTAAAATTATTTTAACATTTTCGCTAAGGTGCGCAAAGAGGCAGACCTCCCGATGATTTCGACTACAACAAGTTGATCCAACATTTAACCTCATTTCCTTATCTTTACATCGATCGTTTTTAATATTTTTACATAGTGACTAGGCAATATCTGTTAATTTCTTTTTGAACAGCCTACAATTTGAATGACCACTTCTCGAATATTCTTTGTTTATCAGTGTATAACGAATATAAGACTATACAGATTTCTTTTCTTATACAACAAGGATTAATCTATAACGAATTAATAATATTTCATCCTGTACTTTTAAGGCAAAAAGCAGTCTTGGGTCGTTCAACTAAAGCGATCTAATAGTAATTAGGCGTATATTAGGTATAAAAGTAAGTGAAGCATATTTGAATAAAGTTTATCCATACACGCAGGAAAAATCTCGAGAGTTCAACTGTGCACACAAGTCATCTATCAGTTACCTTTTCATCTGCTAGGTAGTACCTTCACTATGGGATAAAAATTTCTCTGTGTGATTCTAAGCCCATATATCTTTATGCATAGCATTATTCATCTTTCCTAATACTCAAAAAATTTTCGTTATATTCTTGATTTAATTGATTGCACTTATTTCGCAATAAACGAAAATGTAGTCTGTCTGTGAAAGAAGAATACGTGGTCAAATATGAACAATGTTAATTTGGAGAGCTAACTTCTTTGGAATTATGAAGGACTGATTATTCTATGAATACAGAATTTACTTTCAGCAAAGATCTGTCTTTGAAGTTATTATGAATGTGTCATCTTAGTTTCATACAGCACTCTCCCGTTTTCCGAAAAACTGAATATTACTCACTGTATGATATACATGAATAAATAGACGTCCCAGTACTCATTAAAGGATTTATATACTCCTTCGCGTTGAGCGGCTTGAACAGAGCAAGGAAAGCAAATGTAACACTTAGTTACTTGGTGACATGCTATGAGACAAACTTATCACATCAGTGCTTATGATACTACACAGTGCGTGGTTACAGGTAAACTTATTGCTCGAATATTGAGTGCTTAAGCCAATGGACTACATCTAAAAATGTAGCAAGAGAATTTCAACTGTCTTTTATTATTTCGTGAGTTATTTCCAAGAAATTGAAATGTATAGATTATGAGCCTGAGATATAATTTAATCATGTTCAAAAGGCATCATTAGTTGGATCTATAAGTAACATAAGTCCAAAACAATGTTAGCAGTAAAACTTTGTATATGTTAGAAGGATTGATAACTTATAAGTCAGTTAGATGGTGCCTTAGGAACAATGTTTAACTAGAAGTAATTGACAATAGCAAGTTTATTCAGTTCTGAAACAGAGCTGAAGATACGGAATACTAAATGATGCAAAAGAATCGTACAGAGTGGTTTCATGAATATAATCACAAATATAATGCAGAGTTAAACACAATCTTCTTCTTCTTCTTCTGCGTGTAGAGATTTGGTTTTAAAGGTTTGATAGTGATTGTTTCAGCTGAGTGCATCAGGCGCGTTTGTTCTTAGGTTTTTCTAAATTTTTTGCTCTGTTCTGTCTCTCGCTTTTTTTCTAACTTCATTTTTCTTATTTGGGCGTCACTTATCCTACTCACCTAGCCAGTGTAAAATAGTCTGTTTATGCTAACATTATGCCCCTAGTTAAACTTTGTTTCTAACATTTTGAACTATCTAATGCTTTGTTTTTTCTAAGAATATTCTTCTAAATAGTCAGTAAGTCAAGCAGTCAGACATTTTAACACTTAAACATTCAACCACCTCATCATCATTTTAGACACATTTTACTTGTGATTTGAATAACTAATGCATTATAAACATAAATAAAAGCACATTCTAGACATTTTTCTACTTTGTATATATATTTTACTTTTGTTTAGGTTATAAAATGGATGAAATGAAATTCACGAAGTAATAAAAACTCAGCTCGCATTCTCCTCCCCTATTTATTATTATTATTATCATTCTTTTGCTTAATTCAACTAATGGAGTAATAAATTTGTCGAAGCTGTTTCACAGAATCAGTAATTAAAGACAACACGCATGATCTCTCATTTGCACATTTATATGTGTAATTAGGCATATATACAGATAGGTTATGAAACAAACTTGCCTTCAAATAGGTAGATATATATATATATATGTATATATGTGAATTGTTAGATATATTTCTGAACAGAATTATATAGCACACAATTTTGCTAATGAGGCTTTTAAGTATAGGGTACACATTTGATTGCTTTCTAATATATCACAAAACAAAATGAAATTATATGTACAATAAAAATGGGTGCATATTATGTAATCTGTTATATCTTTTGCGGGGGATTTCAGTCATTCAACATACAGATATCTGTGAACACACCGCTTTTTGATCTCTTATGTATATATATCGTATTATTCATGGATTTAATCATAAGTAGATACATCTCTTTTTAATGCAATCATGTAATTCAATTTTTCATTGAGAACAAGTAACCATGTGATTATCAGCAGTTGTAGTTAAAGAAGGCGCAGTACATGGAGTAGTACAAACAGGAACACTAGCTATTATCGTTGTATTTTCATTATAATTATTAATTAATCGAGTATTTGGTGTACTCAACGATAGACAACACTTTAATTGTTTTGTTTTACACAAACGATTGAAATCTGATAGGAATATACTTGATGTACATGAATAAATAAAAAAATGTGTCATATGATTAATCATTTGTAAAATAACTGTAACTCTTTCAATTGTATCACAAACATTAATCCATTCCCCACTATCAATACAAAATCTATATTCAAATAAATAATAAAAGACAATTGGCATTGTTAAAACAAAATGACTTATAGTCATACAGACAACTGTTCTTAGCACACGAGATGAACGTTGTTCACGATGTTTTGATGATTTATCCTTTTGTAGAATTGTTTTACCTTGTGAAGAAGATGTTGTAGTATTTAACATTGTAGATGATGCTGGTTTCGGTAGAACTGTTTTTGTTGTTGTTGCTGTGTTTCGTGCATGTTTCACCGCTAAACTAGTCGTCTTCATCCGCCATATAATACTAATATTTACCAGTAGTATAAAGGCTAATGGAATAAAGGAGTAAATTGCAAAGTCTATATACGGCCAATAAAAATGAAATGCTCTATATTCTGGTTTTGGTGCACATGAATTATCATTCACGTGTACAGTCCATACATAATGAATATTTAAACTGATTAAACTTAATATCACTATTACAAGTGCAGTGATCCCGTGTTCTAGTCTACACCATTGTTTAAATCTAACCGGTGTCCATACACAGATAGCTCTTTCAATACACAATAATATAATTATCCATGTTGATAAATCTGTTGTAAATGTAAATAAGAATAGGGGTATACCACAATTTAATTTGATACGTATATCCGTTTGTTCATCGGTTATGCCAATTATCCATTGTCTTAAACAACCATGTGCGACAACATAAGTATCTGTCATACACATAACTCCAATTAATAGACTTGTTGAACCTACTGTCACCGATATACGTTTTAACCAAATCACCATTGATAGAAGATTACCAGGTATTCCAATAATCAAAATAATTATTGGTACAATACTATAGAATGTAGTCAAGGAATGATGTACTTTTGGATGATATTGGGTATTATTTGCATCAATCAGTAAGATCATTATTACTTTTGTCTGTTAAGTTGATAAACTTAATGTTTTCAATATGTATATTAGTGTTACTAAGGTGAAAACATGATGGTAATTAAATGTGTGAAGGGTATTCACCGTTGACAGAGCATTTTAATATGTAGGTATGGGGAAAAAGGTTGACGAACAGAAGAAAAATACTTGAATAAATAATTTTGTAGGAGAAGTATCTCGCCTTTAACATTTTAACCAGTAGAAATAAAGCCATTTTCTTGACCAATAGAAATGAGGGAAAATTTTGATAAGTAATTTGTCATTTTTAATGCAAACTATTCTGTTTTATTGTGAAATTAAAGTTAATATTTAATTTGCTAGGACAAAATATATGGCTGATGGAAGTCAACGATGACGGTTTCCACCCTGAGTATCTGTGAGGAATAATATCCAAATGTTAGGTATCAAAAGTGACGTGTTTTTGAAGTCCTTTGGCGTGATATCAAAAACCATTATATATGATTATATGTAAAATATTATTAAATATGATTATTTCTCAATAATTTATTAATTTTTTTTTGATTACAGCTTCATTACACACTGTATTTTTCGTACAAGTATGGGATTTTCAGCATGGATATCAGTAGCCCAAATTTTGTAGGCCGACCATAGATATCAGGTGTTCGTCGACAGGGGATCGAACCTCGGACCATGTGCATGATCGGTGAGAGTCCCAACCACTGTGTCACCGACACACTGGTTTTATTAAACAATAATACCATCAAAACTCAAATTTACATCAACAGTGCCATGAGGCAGCTATACAGATGGTATAGGTTTCTAAATACAAAACACATTTAGTGAGTTAGGCACATCCCAGTTACCCAGCAGTTAGTTTTAAGCCAGACTTACTCTGTATGTGTGTGTGTTGGGGGGGGCAATGGTACTACCTATTTGCCTAGGCTGAAGTAAATGGCTCAGGACTCGAGTGCTCAAGCCAAAGCGCCATATCTCCACATATTAAACAAGTATTGTAAAACAAAATTAGTTAACCAAAGTTCAACTGTTAAAATTATTTTAAAAGCGGGAACAATATTCTCAATGAGGTGGAATAATAAGCACTGTCCGCAGAAACCACAAATTAACGCTTCTCACAGACCGTCGCGGGTGAGAATGACTATCATTCACTCAAACAAACTGATATTGTTAAACAACACATTGTTAGTGTACACACAACCACAAGGAAAACTATTACAATTAAAAATTAGAGAAGGAGAAAGGCAAATAATAAAGATCAAATCTAACATGTGATATGCAAATGTCAAATTAATGATACATTGTCAAGGGGAAAAAAGTATAGTAATTACAAAGTTAGCTGAAACATCCAAATAAGTATCAATAGATCGCCGAGGAGGGATTTTCCATACACTTCATTCTATACAGAAAAATGAGTAATTTTAATAGTTCAAAATTTAATTTTTTACTTGACATCTCTATCAAGTTGAGTAGTTTTTTCTTTTTAATTACAGCTTGATTCCACACTGTATTTTTGGTACAAGTATGGAATTTTCAGCATGGATATCGGAAGCCCAAATTTCGCAGGTTGACCATAGATATCAGGTGTTCGTCGGCAGGGGTTCGAACCTCGGACAATGTGCATGGTCGGTGAGAGTCCTAACCACTGTGCCACCCGTGCACATACTAAAGATAACTGAGGAATGTCACTTAGACTTCGGCGTGCAAAAATATCCTCATAATTATGAATTGCTATTGCAGTTTGAATCTCCTGTTTTAACTGAGGTAAGCAGGAATGGATTCAGTGCATATTCGCTTCACTACCAATTAGACACATACATCAGTTTTAAATGTAAATAAACTTGGTATTGCGTAAGACATTGTCTGTACAGCTCTAAAATCCTGTTTCAAATAAAAAATTAAATGGGACCACTATGAAGTAAAGAATGGGTTATTAGTACTTTAGTATATTAAACATTTTTAGGTTGATTGAATTCTCCTTATTACAGATAATTTCTAATAAATTATTGATGCAGGTAAAAAAAATAAGACCCCATTATAAAAGCTATAATTATCATTCATTATTGTTATTCTTTACAGTTAAGAGACTTAAAGTATTTAATTTTCTTAGACAGGTGAAAGCCACAGGCTTAGTGGAAGTACTAATGTTGAAGCTGTGACTGTGTTATTAGTTGTAAGTTAACATTGAGAATTGATGACTTGTGGGCTCAGTAGCTCCCAGGGGTGTCTTGGTTCCCGTAGTAAAATAAATCATCTTATTAACCCAAGATCGAGGATATGCAGCTGTTTTAAATATACTGATGTGAGATGATCTGAAGCAGCCAACAGAAATTTCTTACCACCATTCGTTAGTGAGGCTTACCCACAATTTCAAAGTAACGGTTGTGCCTTCTTAGATTTCACACTGTTGAGTTACTTGGGCCCATTGATATTGGGATAAAAAAGTCGCTAGTCACAGTAAAACTGCTGCAGCATTAAGTTCTCATATGGAGACAGAATCTTGGCGAAATGAAAGGATTTATATTTACTGGAAAATAAATAAACTAGCTGAAAATTCTGCATATTATTAAGTTCTTTTCATCATTATCATGCAATCACCTAAACGTTTGGTCTTATGCATCCACTGCATGATGGTGTGGAATAGAGACACAATAACAGACCACACTGTTTCACTAGCTATGAAGGACTGAAAAAGCAATCCATAACTCAGATATATTCTGATACCACAAGAAGAATGATTGCGTAGTTTCTATATGAACTTATGTATTTTAAATTCGATTGTTTATCTGGACGCTGTCGGACCAGATTACTTGGTAAAACATAGGCATAAAGTTTTTAAATGTTTCAAACTTGAACCAACTGATTTTGAAAATATTGGATCTTTAGGGATTGGACTGAAAAGTCGTTTTTTCCTGACTTCGATTTACATGATCAGACATCGTCGAAGAATATGCACAAGGAGCCGTCATGTCAACCTGAGACTGAGTGCTTCGGTTCAATCAATCGACGGGAAAATCTAAAATTGAATTAAATAAGATTTTCAAACAAAAATAGGCTCAGGAGAAAATCCACTCTGAAGGAACTTTGCAAATATTTTACGTTTTGCTTAGCATTCAATAATTTTTGAACGAGTAGTTGAAGGCTTGATCAAATTTAATTAAATTCAGCTGTATGCTTCTAAATATTGAGAATGGCAATTAATTACAAAGCTATGAAGTGAGTCTTTGATGTCATTTGTAATGCCATTCCCAAAGAAAACAAACACACCATTGGATCGAGTCCCAGTGGCTCAATGGTCTACGAGCTCGCCTTGTAACCAGAAGGTCCTGGATTCGAATCCCGGTGGATGCATACTGCTGAAGAGTCCCAAACTAGGACGAAACAGCTGTCCAGTACTCCCAGGTTTTCCAGTGGTTCTCTAACTGATGTCAGCTCATGATTAAATCCTCCATGCAATCAAATAATTAATAGATTTGTGTTCAACGCAGATGTAACAAATCTATGTGCTCACCGGAACAAAGACCTATCTGCTGCATGTACCTGCATTCCTAGAGAAAGATGATGGTCACACTGAGACTAGAACCAAGTTTCTATCGTTTCAAATGCCAAGACACTATCCACAAGATCACCTGAGCCATAAGAACAACCTCTTTCTCAGCAAGCAGCAGTTATTATGTGCTTTGAGGATATATCCGGATGACGAGTCTCAAGTAGGATGAAATGCGCGCCCTAGATTTCACTACTAGTTATTAGCCACAAAATTACTTCAGGCTAATCCTGGAACATCATCAGAGTATCCCTACTAAGAACAGACATGTTAACAGAAGCCATTTCAATCAGTCAGCAGGAAAACTGAATGGAACTAAAAACGAATTGTGAACGCACTAACGTTTAGTAGGATGAAAGCAGAAATTATCAGCTAACACTGTCCATCGGGAATGTGATGGCTTGGCATTCACAACACGTGCCCAAGTCATCTCAATCAATTCATATTTACAACTTCATCGAATAACCTAACCTCTTTACCTAACAGTCTACTCCTAATATGAGTTTATTCACCACATTATACCGTTTAACACTTGAGACAGAGCGTAGACACCTGTGATCAGAGACAAGTCCTTTCATATCTTCCATTTTCAGAGAGCGTTTTGTTACAACCATAAAGAAGACAAAGCGAACTTCTGCGCTAGACACATATCCTTTGATCCACAGCCTGATATCAATTCTATACTAGAGGTGGTGTAAGTTGGCAAATGCCAAACGGACCTTTTGTATTCGTGCTATGATTTTATCAACATTCAGTCTATTGGGGCTGATTTAACCTCCTCAATGATTGAAGTGGTCAGTATGCTCTACTATTTCGCTCCCTATACTAAGGCTACGAATCTGTCCAAACAACTATCCTTTTGTATGAATCTCAATCAGCTGTGATCTACTTAAGGCTTATCTAAATATCAAATTGGTGACACTGTTTAAAAACCACTTTTAAATTACTACCTTTGGATAACTCAAGATTTTGTCTCTCTCCTTTTTATCTTTGTTTCTTTAGGCAATAAATGACAGTGAAAGGCAGTCTACTTTTTATCATGACGTCCTTTGCATGCTGAGGCGATCCTCTAGGTTTTAGTTCTCAGTTATGTCTGTTATGGAGTTTAATTAAATGAGAATCACGAATGTTATCAATGGAAAACACTTTGTAGTAAATTACGGTAAGGATCTATGTGACTATAGTGATTTTCGAATTCAATGCATTTAGTGAAGTGTAGGGCTTCTGTTCATCACTCGACAGCAGTTTATACTACATAATTTCAATAGTGAATAATACCTTTATTTTCTACAGCATTTATATATTATGCAAAATTGTTTGCATAGTGTGTTGCATGATATTTTCTTTTCATCCAAGATCGTCAAATAAGCTATCACGTGGCGGCAGACGGTGTCAAGCACTTCTCCCTTACGTGAAGGGTAAATCAAGAAATTATGATGTCTCTTCTTTGTCTTCT